AATGATCTTAGTGGACAAATTCCTTGCAAGCATAGTAAAGTACATGTTTTAAAAAAGAATAGAACTCTACAACAAAGAATTTTTTTGAGAATATCTCATTATTACATTAAAATTAAAGACCTATTCTATCAACTAATAATGCTATATTTTTAAAATGTAGGACAGAAAATGACTTCTATACTTTTAAAATTTGCTCAAAATTTAGGAGGTCTTTAAACCGAGCCAACTATATCACAATCTACATCAGGAAATTAATTTAGCATAAACTTGCATAAATCTTACAATGCCAACGTAATATTGTGTAAATCTTACAGTGCCAATGTAAGTTTTACACTTTTTTATTATTAAACTTACAATTGACACGTGTAAAATTTTTTTATATTTTCCGGATGTATTTCATAAAGATTCTGAAAACAATTTTCAAATCTATGATGATTAATTAATAAATTAAAACCTATATGATAATTTATATAATCAACAATATTAAGCCTTCTAATACCTGCTGAATGGTCTAAAATAAAATTTCCTAATTGATTTCATAAAATTTGTGCAAGATTTAATGCTTTGTTTTTTATCAGGTATTGAAAATTACAACTCATGAAAAATATAGTACAAAATCTGGCATAATTGTATAGTGGTGGTTTCTCCAATAGTTCAAAAGTTAATTCAATGCAATTTCTGGTTAAAAAACCCTAATACACAATTAATTAATATTTTGATACTGCCTTTAGAAAAAAATGGATTCTTCCATAAAGTTGCAATATTTATATTGTGCCATTTTTTGTTGACAAGTATACAAGAATATAATACTTAGTAATCATCTTCAATATATTTGAATATTTCAGTCAGAAGTTCAAGTGACAAACTATTTATTTCAAACATTTTTTAAGAATAATTTGTTTGTTGCACAATGTATCCAATTAAAAATAGGCCGCCCAATGACTGAATCTGATAAATTTCAAATACTAAAATCAGAAAATAACACATAATAATAATAATATAATACACACAGTTCTGTGATAAAGAGGCTCATTTATTGGCTGTTAGTGGTGTAATAAATATATATCACCAACAATGAGTAGTAAATAGAGACAAAGTTGAAACTTAATAACTTTTTTTTTTTTTATTTTTAACAACATAATCTTGTTGTGATCAGAGCTGGAAATAGGGTTTGAAAAAAAAACGGAAATTTCTCCTGAATGCTAAAAATTTTTCGAAAGACAAATTTAAAAAAAGGAAAATTTTTGGATGCTAAAATTTTTTCATATTTAAGAATTTTCTTTAATTTATTCTGTTTTTTTTACTAAGAGCATCATTAAAACCATAACCAAACAAATCAATACCTTCTAAACCAACCATCATTAATAAGTGCAATGTGCCATTTTCCATTGCATTACATTTGATAATATTCTGTTTGCTAAAACCTCTTTTACAATCTATACTAGAAAATGGAATTGAGTGCACTATTTCTATAAATTCTAAGACTTGGAAATTTGGAAATTGGAATATTTTCTTTTGCCATCCAGTAAATATTAATTATATGTTTGTTACCATTATTAATGGCTTTTTTGGAAGAACCTTACATGGTTATTCTTGCCTTCTCTAGAAACAAAGCATCTTTCTGTTGATTTGAAAGTGCATGAGTTGCTAAAGCAGTAGATTTTGAAACATTCTTTGATCCTAAATAATAACATTATAATATTAGTAAATTAATAATTGTGAAATGCAAATTAATTATATCTATTTGTCATTTTCCTGCAAATTGATTTTTTTCCCATGTACTTTACAAATTGTGCAAAACATTCTCTTCATTGCTGTATCATATTTTAACCATTTATATATGTTAGCCATTCATGCTGAAAAACTTCTTCTGATTTTTAAAATGCACTTTTTTATTTAACATTTTAATATAGTTTACACTTAATTTACTATTTTTCTTTTTTTATTTGTTTTTTTTTGAAGTATCATCATCATCTGAACCTTGAATTGTCAAATAACCTGAACCTTCTATATCTGATTCATCAATATTTATTTCATCTATAAATGCTTCATCCCAAACTTCAGTAGTCAAAATTATCTAATTTTTCTTGTTCAATACTATATTTTTTTTTGAATAAGGAAACAAATATACATAATTCATAAAGTGTATATATTTTTAAATTTAATAATTTAATAGCAGTGAAATAAGATTTAAATTGAGTCAATACATTTCTTCTGAAAATTCAAAATATACAAATTATGGTTCTTTTCTAAAATATCAAAGTAATGACACGCATATACTTTATGTATATATATTTAGTATAAAAATTTTTTTATGTGGATGGAAAAACCTGTACAAAAAAAATAAAAAAAGTAAAAAGGAAAAATAACCAGCAACTCTTTTTTTTTCTGGAAGTTAAAATTTTTAATATTAAAGGAAAATCCAGGTTAATAAGTATTTTTAAAATATGGTTCTGTTAAATTGTAGACATATCCTTTGAACTCAAAACATTTTTCAGGATTAAAAATTCTTGTCTGTATGATGAGTTATAACAATTTTTATTTTAAATAAATTGATTTTAACAATTGGAAACTTAAAACGTTTATAACTTTGGAAGCAAAATAGCTACAAAAAAAATTGAGTGTTTTTAATCTCTAGGAATCTTATCTACAATGTAACAATGTTATTTTTTTTGTTTAATATAAATTTTTTTAATTTATATGTATTGATAGTTATTTAGAATTTGTCAAAATAACATGAAAGTACATCAATGTTAATAAATATTTTTAAAATATGGCTCTTTTACATTGTAGAGACATGTTCCACAAGCTCAAAACATTTTTTAGAATTAAAATTCTCATTTGTATGATGAGTTATAACAGTTTTCATGGAATATGATTAACAATCAGAAACTTAAAACGTTTATAACTTTGGAAGCAACATAGCCACAAAAAAAATTGAAAGTGTTTTTAATCTTTAAGAACCTTATCTACAACGTAAAAATGCTATTTTTTTTTGTTTAAATATAATTATTATAGAAGTTTGCCTAAACTAAATTGTGATGATGCTGAAACTCAGGAAAAAAAGGTTATAGAAACTAATAGTTTGAAACCCAGTTACTTTGCCAAAACTCAATCACTGTGCCGAAACTTCAATTTTTGTTGAAACTATTTTATAATGATTAGACATTTTCTTTTGAAACAAATTAATTATTGTTGAAATACAAGAAATTTTATTATTATTGCAAAACATTTATTATTATTATTATGTAGAAGGTGTTATAATTCTTTGGTTACATTAGTATCAACAAAGGATAAGTTTGGTGAGGTGTTTGCTTTGGTAGATTTTGGTGTCGTTGAAAAATGCACTAGTTGAATATCATATTCTGGATCATCGTTATCTTCTTAGTCTAAGTCTATGATCTCCAAATCTGAAAGAATGCATTTGCTTAGCTTTATTGATAATATATTTAGGAAGATACTTCTCACATCTTCATTTTCAATTTTGTGATTCTCTCCAAAAAATTTTTATAACATAAAAAATGATTTCTTTTCAGCAATCTTGATTGGTTTAAGGACAGAATAATATCTTTATCTTTAAATAAAGAAAGAAAAAAGATTTTTATTATTATTTTTATTATTTGAATGTGCGCATTTATAAATTTATGTGCAACAAAAAAATTTTCCCGTGATAAAATCTCTATAATCGATGAAATTATTACCAATTATGTTATATAGATTTAGTTTCGGCATTTGCTGAAATTTAGTAATTAGGCAAACTTTTATATAATATACGGGTTTAATTATTAAAATTAAATCATTTTGATCATTATTATTAAATTGTTAATGTTAATATACAACCAATAATTAATGCCAATACTGACATTAATTATTGGTAAAGTAATATTATCATTATATGCTTTATGAATCATAGTTACACAAAAGGCTTAACATTTTATAGTTTCGGCAAAAATAATTATGCCTAAAATTTCGGCATTTTGCTTGCTTGAAAATCGAAACTAAATTTTTTAATTTGCCGAAATTTAGTGGTTTAGGCAAACTTCTATAGTTCCCTGCATTTTGTATATTGTGTGCATCTGTGTATTTATGCATGCATACAATTACAAGTCATAGTCCCTTAAAAATCATTTCCAAAAAAAAATTAAAATGAATGGATCTGATGTTGATTATATGCAGGGTTGCCATTGGACAACATCCTGGACACTATCCAATATGTTCAAGGTGTACCTGGTTGATTATTATTTTGAGTTGGTGATTGAGATGATGGAGTTGGTCGTTTGTTATGTTGCGTTGTTGATCATACACTTAATATTACACAAAGTACATGAGGTGGATTTGGACCTACAGGCGCAGGATAATATTCGTGTCCAACGCCGATCTTCCCTATAAAAAAAAAAACATGTAGAAAAAAGGTACTGAATACATACGTTATAAACAGTACGAATTCCAAATAATACCCATACTTATAAAAGGTACAGAGTTGGACACTTTTCCTGTATCTCATCCGGAATCAACACTTTTTCCATATTTCAAAGTACTGAATCATACATGTTTTAGTTACTATTGCTGAATCCATGCCAATACCAAAAATCACTAATAAATTTAAAAATAAAAAGTTTTTTTTGAAAAAAATACCAAAAAATAATATGAACTTCAACCCGAGGTCAAAAGCCGAATTAAAAGTTGAAATGGTCGAAATTTACATCATACAACAGGTCGAACATATAGAAAAATCAATCAAAAGCTTTAAATTACCATAACTCGGTCAATATTTGGCTTTTTGGGGTAAAATAACTACCATTCGAATTCTCTCGATGAGGTGAGGTCTGATGAAATGTAATTCAAATCATTAATTATTGAGATATTTTTATTTACTGTATATCTTACAATAACCCACCATTTATCGATGCTATGAACATTAAAACATTATTATTCGAATCGCTGAGCCGTGTTTCATTAAAGTTGGATCACGGTTCTCGTGTGATATGACATAATTTCCCCCGAAATTAAATCATTTCGACTTTACGTTAATAGTCAAATATATGATTATAGTCTTCACTTCATATTTCCGTACTCCACACTAAATTTGAAAAGGGGCAATTTTTCCAAACCGTAAAAGAAATACGTTAATTTCGTATGCAGTATATATTCTTTAAGAACGTATTTAGCACACGTTAATTCCGTATTTTAAATTTTCATAGGGATTGTATGATAAAGGAAGTTAACAATTTAACAATTATTTATTATTATTATTATTAACAATCATGTGATGATAACTTTTTCATCAATCATTAAGAAGATTACATTTACAATTGCAATATTATATTGGTTGTGGCATCAAACATATTTCCTGAAAAAAAAAAAGTAGATTCTTTGAAATCAATATTGTCAATTACACAAACATTCCATATTATAGGTCCATAACTAAATTTTCCTTTGGATTCGCAGCTGTCATCAATTCATCTTCACAGCGATACTCGTGTCTTAATGTGTGAGGAAGTACATCATTAGCTAAAAACACATTATTAATTCTACCCAGTTTAACAAAATGAGACCAAGTTTTGATTTTGTCATTCCTTAAAAATACTGTCAATTAATATAATCAATAAAAATTAAAAATTGCCATTTTTTTTTTTTTTTTTGGATAGAATTATGTATATGATGTATGGGACATTACATGATTTGAAAAAAAATAATGCGTATGTCAAATAGTTATCCAACTTGACTTGCAAAAATCTTTGAATGATATTATAAAATGGTCATTAATGTGGTCAAGAATACTTGATAATTTGTTTGGACCTTCTGAATTTATTGGAGAATGGAATGATAAAAAAAATTGTATTTTTTCTGAATTATCAAAAATACATGGAGAAATTTGGATGTATACATCATATTCTTTAGAAAACTCTGCAATTGTCGAGACTACACCTAATGTTGTAATATTTAAAGCAAGCCCTCCAGCTAATTGTGATGGAAATGTTTTTGCTACATCCAAACTGTTTAAAGAGGATATTCTTTCCGGATACAATAAACGTCTCGACTTAGTTGCTGATGATATTACACATTCAATGAAGCAAT